TTTCCAACTGCAAATGAAAAAACAGTTTTCAACAACTGAAAAAAATTGGTTCTTTTGGCAGTATCAGAAGGGATGCCATGGACTGAACGAACATGAAGATTAAACTGCTTTCTCACCCTAAGGTGCAGCTCAGGGTGGAAGTACTGCACTATAACAGTCTCTTTTGTCCCTGTTTTGTTGGTAGAAGGACCTCAGCTTTCACAGCTACCAATTCTGGCACCTTTTACCTGCACAACATTCACTTTTTAAAAGTCTAAATGGAATAATTATGAACTAGTTCCATAGTTGCATTATAATGTCTGATCATGTCACCGTAGAGTAAGTACCAGAAAATGACAGAATGAATGGTGTAGTTCCTGTCATCTTAAATTTTCAAATTTGATCATAAGTACTTGAGAGATGTCAGACTTTTGTTACTTAAAAGCTACAGGTACAGTGATCAGATAAATGAAAGGCAATGTCAAGTTACATGTACTTGCGTGAGATTTAGAGACGGTAATTATGGAGTGGTTATATGCCTATGCGTACTCTGTAAACTAAACCATTGTTAAATTTAATGACTTATCCATCATCCCAATCTTTTCAGCTATCCTACATCATACTGTATTCCATAAGCCCCTAACCGGGATGAGCACTTCTCAGCATGAGACATTTTCTAGCATCTCAGACGGCTTTATCTCTCTCTCTCTTGCTTATGGTTTTATATCTTTATACGCACAACACATTCTTAAATAGGAGATGACGTGTTTAGATGGTCACTTTTTTTAAGACTTGGCCACCTGACTGTCATCCTCATTGATATTATAATCGTTTCCTGCTTGGCCAACCAACGGCCAGTAAAGAGCTTATTGGAACAGGATTCCCTGAGAATTAAAAGCTGGATGTGATTAGTTTACCATATCAGCATCCTTTGATCTGTATCTGAACCAATGCCTAGATTTAATTAAGTCTAGTCTCATTTGAAGGGAGAGCTTGTGGACAAATTGTTGTAGCTGTCCCCGAGTAATAACTAGATTGGGTTCTTTTGTTTGTTTTTATTTGTAGAGTGCACAGCTTAAAGTTTTCCCAGATTTCCGGTCTGCAGACATTGTCATCTCTGTTCAGCGTTTCTCTGGAAACATAAATTCTGATCTCAGTAAGGTCATTTGAAGTAAACTTTAGAATACATTTGAACAGGATATATAACACACAAACTCACACGCATGATAGCTAACGTGTACTGTAACCAGTAGGGAATTGTTGCATTTATTGGAATTTTCCTCTGGTTGCCCAGTCTAATGAAATTATGTTAAATGACAAATGCTGAAATGCTGCTTTTGAACATCCACAATTACCTTGTTGTTCCAGAAGAGGAGAAAAAGGATTCTTTTAATAGTTCCCCATAGTACTAAATGCTAGTATCTTGTAAATGAATGTGTCTTAATTAGCGAACATAAAGTACTGTGTTTATTTTTCAGTCCCTCAGCCCCTATTCCTGCCTTCCACCCCCTTCTGCGGCTCTGCGACATCCAAGTTCCCACAGAACTCATCCAGATTCAACAGCTGACCTCCTCTCGGCATTAAGCCAAGAGGAACGTGACCTTATTGAGCCAGTTATAGCCTTGGGTTATCCGATACGCAGAGCAATCATCGCCCTCCAGAAGACGGGAAGACAAAGTTTAGGTCAGGTTAGTGGAGCCAGTATTGCTTTACTTAAATGGCATGGAAAATACTTGATAAAGGACAGTCATGTAAGAAGCTTTAGTGCAGTATCATCTGGTAACTAGCCAAGTCTTAAAAGAGACGCCCAGTTCTGCTTTTGGGAAACTGTAGTAGTTTATCATACGTCCTAATAAGAACTGAAGTAATTCAGGATTTTTGCCTTGGAACTTCCATTTTTAAGTAATAAAATTGGCTTGCATTATCTTCAGCCACATTCTCACAGGCAGTAATAGTTGTTGTTTTACTGTTTGATAGTGTTCTATTTATTGTATAGAACCAAAAACCTACATCAGTGACATAAACCACAATGTTATTTTGAAGAGCAGATTTCTTGTGTTCATGGTATGGAAACATTTTTGCTAACAGATTTTTTTTTCTCGGTCATTGGATCAATATGATTTATCGCCCTGGCTCATCTAGTCAGAACTGGAGTGTATAATTCCCTCTGAGAGTTCTTGCTTTTTCACCAGAATTAAAGAATTTGTTTCAGAATTGTGATTAGTCACTGAATATGTACAAATAATGCCTTTGCGTTATACTGGGTCATGAAAGATTCTAATTTGTCACCAATGCATATGTATCACTTATAGTTATATTACTGGATCCTTCTCTACACTAACTAGTATCTGAGCACATGCCAATCTTTAATGTATTTATCCTTGCAACACCCCTATGAGGTAGGAGAGTACTGTTATCCCATTTTACAGATGGGGAACTGAGGCCTAGAGAGAGACTAAGGCCTGGTCTACACTTGGGGGGGAGGGGAGGAGGTCGATTTAAGATACACAACTTCAGCTACGAGAATAGCGTAGCTGAAGTCGATGTATCTTAGATCGAATTAAAATTACTAACTTTGCGTCCTCGCGGCGCTGGATCGACGGCCGCCACTCCCCTGTCGACTTTGCTTCCGCCTCTCGCACTGCTGGAGTTCAGCAGTGACGGGAGAGTGATCGGGGATCGATTTATCGTGTCTACACTGCACACGATAAATCAATCCCCGATAGATCGATCGCTACCCGGCGGGTAGTGTAGACGTACCCTCAGTGACTTGCTGAACATCACACAGGAATTTTGTGGCAGAGCAGGGAATTGGATCTAGGTCTCCAAGTGATCGGCTAGCACCCTATCCACTAGATCATCCTTCCAAGACCAGTTCTGCTGTTAAATGCAAGTATTTCTGTAATCCAGATCGGTGAATATTATTTATTCTACTCATAAAGGCTTCAAACAAGCCAGGCACAGAGAAGTGGGCAAAGTGCAGCCTACATCCCCTGTGTAGTTGATGGAGTCATGCAATGTGCTCCTGACCATGGCTGCCATCATCTTTACTATGGAGGGTACAGCCCACAGAGGCTGTACATCCCAGCAGGCAGTGCTCCATATTACAGATGAGGTTGGCTGCAATCTGCTCAATTTTATGCAAATTGACTGCGGCCCTCAGGTTCTCACAAAGTTACCAGTGCAGCCCTTAGCTAAATATACGGTTGTATCCTTCTGCTCCCTACGCTGGTCTCTCTCTTTCACCAGCATGATCTCCTCTCTTTTCTCTGGTTGTGTAGGGACACAGCCAAGAGGAAATACAATGGTTAGCCGTGAAGACTTCCAGTCTCAAATTACCAGTGTAAGTCTGACCAAATTAGGCTAAAGACCTTGCAGGAAAAAAGTTTGAAAAGAAAAATCGAGACTATTCATTGCTTCTTAGTGTCATGCTGGGTTGCAGTGTGGTGCTGACAGCTACAGGCAGGGTGATTGGTAGTAACATCATACGGTAGCCAAAAATCACTGCATTCTTTGTGGTGTTGAGTAAATCTGCCGGAAACTACCCTGATTCCCAAAGCAAGAATTTTCAAGGCGTCAGCCTTAAAGAGGCAGCATTACCCCAATTCTGACCAAAGCACATGGTTAAAAGGCTCATACGGGGATAGCCATAATGGGTCAGTGGTCCATATAATCCAGTATCCTGGCTTCACCAGTCACCAGTACCAGGTGGTTCTGAGGGATGTGGAAGAATTCCAAAGTGGATGGGCAATTGTGGAATAACCTGCCCACAATGGAAGTCTCTTCCTAACCCCTATCAGTTAGTGGGTGGCTTATGGCTGACACTGAAGTAATAGTTCTTCAAAACGTTTTGATAGTCCTTGTTCATTCCCTGTGGGGCACCTGGCATTAGCCACTCTCGGAAGACAGGATACTGAGCTAGATGGACCTTTGGTCTGACCCAGTATGGCCGTGCTTATGTTTTATGTTTCTAATGTAACTGTTCTCATTATCTGCATAAATGCCCATTCTTTTTTTAAATTCTTCTAACTCTTGGCCTCAACTATACTATTACGATATAGTAGTGAGTTCTGCAGGCTGACTATACATTGTGTAAGAAAGTTCTATCCGTTTTAAATTTGCTGTCATTCCACTTTATTGACTGTCCTATTGTTCTGGGAACACAGAATATTTTAGGGATGTTTTTAACAGTGGGTTTCCCCGCCCTTGGTCCAAAGCTTGCTCCCAGGGAAGAATAGTGGTTTTCCCCAGTCCTTCATCCTGAAGCCATCACTTTTCTCCATTTTGGTTCGACCTAATCTTGCAGTCTGTGCCATTCCTGTGCTTCATCTCTGGCTGTGAGGATGGAACTTACAGGCTGCTCTCTGAATTGGCTGGCAAGACACTGGGAGTTTAAAACCAGTGTACAATGCAACCTGTTTTAAGCAGCCACCTATGGAATCATCAGAAGTTGGTGGCCTAGGAGAGATGGGCCTTTTTAGTGAGGGTCAAACAAACTTGTAATGGAAATCTTGGGAATACATTCAAGGGAATGTGTAAGCCATGGGCTTGTTAACTGGAGTGGGTTTAGTTTGAGTCATTGCATTGCTTTTCTTTGATATGAAAAAACAAATATTTTTTCTGCATAGCATGACAGGTAACATAATGAGGAGGGGAGGACGGATAAATTACCGAGCTACAAGTGTACCGAAGAACTTCATGTTCCAAAGATTATAATGCCAGAATAAAAACCCCTTTAAGAAGTTTTCTCTGATATAAGATGCTCGCACTGAGGCTACCTGGTGTTTATAACCATCCTCAACCTCATTATAAGACCCAGGAAAAACCCCAGAGAGAACAGCTTATGATAGGAGCAAGCATTAAACTGTCTATGTATTTAGTTTTAGTTTTGCAGAACATGCCTATCTAACGTTTTGTGGGTGCATTAATATTCTTGAAGACTAAATGCAAAACTTGTTGTTCCTAAATCCATTCCTCCAGGGTAAGCTAGCTACATTCTTTCTCCACCTCCACAGGCAAAAGATTAGTCTATACTGTACCATGAGGTCGATAAGTCACAATATTTAAAAACCTGTTTTTGTTTAGTCTTACTGGTGGTTTTTTATAATGCTGAAATCATCCTGTTTATGCCAGTTTTGCACAAGTTCCATACTCTGCTTACACAAAATGTCAGGTTCTCTGAATTGTTTGCTTCTGCAGTGAACGTTGTAAGCCAATGTCCCTGTTAATGGCCAAAGAAATATTGTCAACAGCACTGGCTTTTTAGGAAGGAAGGTCATGAGACAAATAAAAACAGCAAGTTATTCATGTAAATGGCAAGCAAATAGAGGCTGTAATATTTGATATGATAATACCAAGTGAATGTAGGTTGTGCTTTTTAATCCTCATTACCACACTGCGGGAGAAATGAGTATTCGGCCAAATTTTTTTCTTAGCTTTAGAAAGCCTTTTTTTATTTTTATTTTTGGACATTTAGCAAGTTTTATGATCTTTTAGTGAATCCCTCTACTGGCTTTGATGCTGTTAGTCTGGCAGTGGGCCACTCATTTTCTTTTACTTTGGAGATTATAAATCAAATTCTCCTCTGGCATCAACAGACACAACTTCACTGAAGTCTATGGAGTTGCACCCGCTTACACCAAAGTGGTGAATTTGGCCCTGGCTTTTTTTACCATTATATATTTAATTTATTGTTTGTCACGTAAGTTTTTGGGCAGTGAATGGCTTATGTGATATTTATAAGATACCACTGGGAATTGTGCTGTCAGCACTCCAAGAACAACGAGGAAAGCCAAAAATAACTGTTTACTTTCAGTAATGATGGCAAACAGGCCTCTTTTGGGGTGGGAGGCATGTTCTGCTCTATATTCTGGAGCAAGACCCTAGAGGGTTGAAGTTTTGAACATCAATAGTGACACTGTGAGGATGGCAGGTTAGAGTTCAGCACTATCTAGCACTTTAATGATACTGTCTTTAAAAAAAACAAACAAACTTTAAAATATTTTCCCCCCACATCAAGCAGAGTTCAGATTTCTGGATTCCCCGAGGGAGGGGGTGTCCCTCTCTTTGTTCATATTTCCCACACCCAGAGAATGGGAAGATCTTAGATGATTATCTTCTCCAGGGAAGTGATGAAAGTCCTGCTGTCTGAGTCACTGAAAACTCATAGAAACAAAACATTAGGCAACGAATTGAATGGAACAAGTTTGCGTTGACTCTTTCCCATCTCTTTTTAAAATTTGTGATACTCCCTCTACTCCGTATCTAAAAAATGGTGCAAAAACACAGCTGACCTTAATGGAGACTGAAAGACAAACTGTCTAGTCCCCTGAAGTGTGGCTGTAACATACAGCTTTCTCCAGCTTGTGGGATAATTGTACAATGCACAAATTACTTATATTCCATGCGTTTCTTGTTACAATCCTAGTCTATTCTCCAATCCCAAATTCAATCTGAACAGTCCAGCGTTAGCACCATTGGGCACCTAAGAATTTAGGCTAATTAAGAAAAACATCCAATTTTGCACTTTTTAAAAAAAAGTAAAGGGCCAAATCCTTAGGTGATATAAATCAGTGTAGCTTACTCAAGCTACCCTGATTTGCACCAGCTGACGATCTGGCCCACATTGAAGGAATGTTTGCATAAATAAGCCTCATACAATACCAGGGCTGAAATCTTGGCCCTACTGAAGTCAGTGGGCCCAGAATTTTATGAAGCAGGGGGCCCAGCCTCTCAACCAGGAAAGGTCCATCATGGTGGAACAATTTGTCCCTCCCTGTACATCTGGCTCTGGGTAATCAGACCCTCATCCCCTCGAGGAGTTCTGGTGACACCTCAGTCATAAGAACAACCTCCAAGACGGAGCCTCCATATTGCAGTGGTGGACTGGCAGACTCCTTCAATCAAAGATTTCATATACAGGCAATATATTTTGATTGCTGCTCACCCTCTCTCCCGGAGGTTATATTAACCCAGTTTCTTTGCTGTCTCTCTATTGTAGTTTCTCAGTTACCTTAGTGCCTGTGACAGGTTGCTGAAACAGGGCTACGAAGAGGGGCAGGTGGAAGAGGCAATGGAAATGTTCCAGTACTCGGAGAAGAAGGTCAGAAGCAGTTAGGTGCCTTCAGAGCAGAGTAATGTTGCTTAGGCCTTGTATTAGAGGTGGGACTGAATCAAACCCCCAGCACGACCTCCAGAACCCCTTTCCTTGTGGGCTACACTGAGCTGTTGAGGAATCCAGCTCCACCTCACACAGGGAGTGCAGAATATTGGTGAATGGCTCCATTACTGCCCCCACCCCTTGCAGTGGAAACACTCTGGTTCCATAGCCCCTGCACCGATGAATTCTATACCACATGGGCACCAGCCTCCCCAGTGGTCCATCTATCTACTAGTTCCACAATGAGTTGCCAAGGCCCCTATGCAGGCTCTCCCCTGTGTGCCTTCCTTTCCCCAGATGGCAGAGCCCTGGCACTGTGACTGTGTGTGTTGGCATTTATGAAGTCACTTTTGGCCAAGGGTGTTGGGAGGTGCCCCTAATAGTGTGAAAAGCTGGCACGGAAGAGGATAAGCACTACTGAATTTTGGGTCTGGACTGTTTGGCATAACCCCAACTTTCACAACACGCAGGATTGCACCTTTCCCTTCTGCTGACTTAGTTGCAGATGAGAGGCTGTGGAAAATACTGAGGCCAGTAAAGGTCTGGTGCAAGAATGAAGGATATTGGAGGGGAGGGGAGGGGGAGGGGAAGCACTAAAAATAAATACCAGCTCATACTCAGTATTTTTTTCTGATTTGATACATCTTTTTCATGTAACTACCGTATTTCATAATATAGACTGAAATTCTATTTTGTTATCCGATAATGGTAATATTTCCCCCCAAATGAGTAGTATTTCACCATACTATTGGATAGGGGCCACTTCACCAACTCCCAAAGGGTGTCAATCTGGTTCTGAAGTGAGTGACTGTTTTATCATAAACAGTACTGAAATAAAGAAACAATAGTTGTTACCTGCCATTAAAAACTAGCCCCTCTGTCTGTTCCGTCCATGGAGTGTGTCCAGAAAAAGGACATTTTCTCTCTTTTAGAGAGATGGGACCAGATTTACCACTGGTGCCGATGGGTGTCACGCCACTAAGTCAGTGGACTGGTGTCCACTTTTATCTGTGGTGAATTTGGCCCAGGGTTTTCAAACTATTCTGTTCCTAGTTCTGCCTGAGCAGCCCCTGCACATATCTGGAGCCTCATTGACTTCTTTGGGGCCCTGCCTAAGCACAGGAATTCACCTGTATGGAGCAGCATTCAGAATCAGGGCTTTACCATCCACATTCTGTGCCATTGATTTCAACATTGTTCTTTAAACGTAATGAATCCTGCTAGATCATATAGCTCGGTTGCATCTTTTCACGTACTGCTGCTTCTGCTGAAACCTTACAATGAATCGAGAATGATCAAATAACTTCCTTTCTGTTCCTTTTTTCCCCCCAGGCAGCTGAATTCCTGCATCTTTTAGTGCAATTTAAGGATATGGGTTTCCAGCAAGCCGAAATCAAAGAGGTTCTTCTGCTTTATGAGAATCATAGAGATAAGGCACTAGAAGAGCTGATGACACGAACACAGTGACCAAATCTCTGGTAACAGTGACATCTTTTCATCTCTAGATTGACCACACCATAGCCCCATGCATGTCAGTTTCATTCTAGACGCAGTGAAAGATATGACTATAGCCCCCCTCAGAAATAAACCATTAAAGTTGCATCTCATTTTCTCCTCACTTTCTGTGAACATCTATTATAAGTGGCTTTGTCACTGTACCATGGCAGTGGCTTTATATCAGAAATTTTTCTCTGCACCCCCACTTTCCACATGCACACCTTGACTATCTCACTGTTTTGGATAAAATGGAATTGGATCCAAGCGGCCATGTGGCTTAAATTCTGCAAAAACCAGGGCATGGCTTATAAGGCTTTGCAAAACATGGCCTCTTCAGTCACTCTGGGATCACATACAGTATAGTCTCTGTTTTTTCTATAGTACAATACCAGCAAATATAGCCAGATGTGAGCTTTACAAAACACAAACCAACAGAAGAGGTGGTTTTTTTTTATAAAAGCAGAACATTTCCCCAGAAAATTAGTTCCTATTTTCTTGAGATGAGTCTTGGTCCTGTCTGAAGTGTGTAACCAAATTCTAGATTTCAGCCAAATAACGTTGGCTTCCCATTTAAAAGGAGAAAGGTAAAATGAATACAATATTTAACTGAGTGTAAGAGAAGAAAACAGGCTTCTGTTGTAATTTTGTTGGTAACTAATATATCATGTTTATCTAGTAAGATGAAAAATGGCTTATGCAAGACCTATGCCCTGCATGTACAGGAATTTTCATGAAATTTGGAAGAGAACTGAAGGAATGATTCTGCTCTGTGTCCAACTGAGGAAAGTGTGGGGAAGAGCACAGAGCCAGAAGGTGGGAAGCAGTGGCTCAAATAATCAAGTTTTGCACAGTCTTCAAGATCTGGAAAATTTGGATGTAGGTTTTTTTCTGGTGTAATTGACATACAAAGAATGTAACGGATCCAAATCACCACCTTGGGTGTCTCTCTGCCCTTTGCAACGTTACAGGGAGAGTGTTGTCACATAGATGAACTCAAGCATTTGATTTTCCTTTGAATTAGTCATAGATGTAATTGCTTGTGAGTACGGGATATTTTCTTTTTTTCTTAAATGTGTCTTTTCCTATGAAAATGCCAACTGGCACAACTTAGCAGGGACAGTCCTTAATTAGTTGCAAAATATTTACCGTTTTCCATTGTGTCCAATTTATTTCAGCTGAGTTAAACAATCTGTCCTTACGTTTCTCCCCCATGTTCCCATTTATAGCTTTAAATATTGTTGTTTGGAAAATGTCCCTCTGTTACTGCTTGATATCCGCCCATCCTCCTTAGGTGTCACTGCAGGGCTGGAACACTGGCTCTTGAAAGAGAGGTGGGTGATCTCATGGTTAAGGCACTAGACTTTGACAAGGGGACTTGAGTTCAATTCCCAACTCTGCTACAGGCTTCCTGTAGGACTTGGTACAATCTCTTAATCGCAGTTATGAAATGGAGGTAAACTTTTCCCGCTCTTTGTCTGTTTTAAATAGACTGTAGACTCTTTGGAGCAAAGACTCTCTCTTGTTATGGCATGCCATGGACTGGGTACACGTCTCAGGAAGTCTTGATTGTCTCGTCTATGGCTGTGTCACAGATCCTAATGAGCGCCCTTGCCTGGCCACACGCTAGGATTGCTGTGAGGGGAATCTAAGCCTTTGTCCTCTGGCTCCCCGGAGCCTGACCAGAGCCCATCCACTGCCCCAGTCTCGAGGTCCCTGGGCGCACTCTCAAGGCACAGACCTTCTATCTGGCACCCCCTCCAAGGGTTGGAACCTGCTGACCACCCACCTAGCCCCTCTGGGCACGGCACTGGCCCTCCAGACTCCCTGGTACGTAAACACGCGCCTCTCCTGAAGTCCACCCAAAAGGTGCAAAGCTTCTAGGTTACAGGTTAATTCTCTCAGGGGCTCACAGTAGTTGTGATGCAGTCAACACACACACATTGCCCAGTCGAACATGGTTATGCTCTTAACAGATCAAGCACAGGAGAGTACAGATCATACAAACCCTCCTAAATACAGTGTCCCTCATGGGCTTAACCTTCCCTTGGGGTCTTTGGGAATCATCTGTCTTCCAGCAGGCAGGCGATGTCCTCCACCCTCATGCCTACCCTGCCCCTCCAGCGGACTACCTCACCATCATTTGGGGCAAAATGGCTCCTTCCCCGGTATCCTCCGGTGAGTCCCTTTAGTCTCCCACTAGGGTCACCTGCTTTTTTTTGTTCTCCTGGTAACTTTCCATTACTTCCAAACCCTACTCCCTTCAGACAACCAGAGGAAGCGTCTTGTCCCAGCTGCAGGAACAAATACACTCATTGTCCCTGTTTTGAATAGACGATTGCAGCTCACTCACCGTTGTCTCTGGCCAGCAGAAACATAACACCACCCTGCTCATTCATGGTGGAGCCACATACAAATAGGCTTCCCATGACACGGTCATTTCATAAAATCGTCCCTCATTCAGAAGTGGTAGCGACAGAACCCCCAGACTAGACGGGAATCGCTTTGATCCCTAAGCTTTCCATGCTTCCCCTTTGTCTGTATATAACTGAAGAGAGCAATATGGCTGTCCTACTGGAGAGATGCTCAAGCTACCGATATATGTTGTAAATACAAAGCACTGAAACAAACCGAGACAATCCTGAAACCTTGACTCATATGAGTAGTCCCAATGAGATCAAAGGGACTACTCCAGTGAGTAACTCTAAATCTGCATATTAACACTTGGTCTCCCAATCAGAACACATGCTTTAAAAAAAATTAGTTTGCCCGGTAAGTTAGTTCTCTGTGTGACAGGAATTCTGCATCCGTATCTGTCACATACATACTTTTCCTTTCCTCACTTCCTTGCAGAAATTTTTCACTTAGTTACACGAACATTTATTTTTGAACACAGTCCATATAAGGCAAGTCCATTCTACAGACAGAATTTTTCATCCCATTTATTGTTGCCAAGATGATGTCACTTTAGAAAAAAAAAAAAGTACTTGCAAAATGTTAACATCTGATTAAAGAAACAGTTTAAAATCTAACTTTGTCTTCAGAGAAGTACACATAATTAAGATGTAAGGGAATAGATAACTGTTGTGTGTTCCACTCCAGTGACTACAAAACATTCTGACTGCAGTATCTTTAGGGTAGGAAATAACATTTGCAGATGGTTTTGTGCCCACTTATGGTAGAAGGGGTCACTGTGCCTAATGGTCTGTGGTTGAAAGTTTGTGTCGAGATACTTTTTTGGCCTTGTATAGCTGATTTCCCCCCACCTGTTCTTCTTTGAACAATTCTCCTTTCAGCCCTACACAGCTGGCAGTTCTATGTACAGGTGGCTTATCATTTTTACTTTGTTGTGTGTTACTTTCACTTTAGCTTTATGGACAGGTTGATTTAATCCAGGGGTAGGCAACCTATGGCACAGCACGGGAGCTGATTTTCCGTGGCACTCACACTGCCCGGGTCCTGGCCAGCGGTCGGGGGGCGGGGAGGGGGGGGGGCTCTGCATTTTAATTTAATTTTAAATGACGCTTCTTAAACATTTTAAAAACCTTATTTACTTTACATACAACAATAGTTTAGTTATATCTTATAGACTTATAGAAAGAGACCTTCTAAAAACATTAATATGTATTACTGGCACACGAAACCTTAAATTAGAGTGAATAAATGAAGACTCAGCACACCACTTCTGAAAGGCTGCCGACCCCTGATTAATCAATGTATTCTTGCCTTGCACACTGAATCCCAACACATTTTTCTTCTCTAAATGTTACAACTCTAGGACACTTTGTATTTTAGTCTTGTGTATTTCAGGACATCTAAAAGCTGTGGACAAAAGCAAACGAAGGGAAGAAAAGGTGTTCAAAGGGGATAGAGGTTGTCTTGCTTGGCCTCTTTGAGGCTATACTTATAAGGAATGGAAAAAGCCTGCTGTATTAAACGATCCTGGATGAGTTACATAAGCCTGTAATAGTTATTTTAACTACTCTAAAAAGGGGGTTGCGCTGATTACTCAGGTTAAGGTGATTTTAAAACATAATGCCCTATATGTGCTGCTGTTAGTTTAGGAGACAACAGTTTTAAGTGTTAACTGACTTCAGCTAAGATAGGACATAACTTTGCCTTCGCTGAGTTTATACTAGCCAGTTTGCAAGTAATAGTGGCAGGTTTCCAGTTGTAACGGTTTAGTTCTCTCCTGGAGTTTTAAATGCAAACAGATGTACCGCCTGCTTCTTGCTTGTTACATTTTTGTCAAATAATGCGTGCAATTATAAAAAGGTTAATGAAGCAGAATGACTGGAGGAGCACTCTGCTTTCTATCTTTGTCATATATGGTCTCGTATCAAAAAGGCTTTCTACTGATCTTTAGCATCCTTGTACTAAGTAACATCTCATTTCAAAATAAAAGCAAAAATATAAAAATCGAAGCTGTTTATGATTTGAATTGAAAGCAACTGAACCAATGAGGGGAAGGAGGATGAGAATCCAAAGATGAAAATCATGTATACAAAGTGATTACTAAATTGAATGTCCTCTGTGAATTCACAAGTAGATATGAATATTTTAGGCGCAGATACTTTACTCCCTCTCCGGAGAAGGGTTGACTCATTTCCAGAGCAACCAGCTATTTTCAGGACACCTGAGAAAGACATGCAGGGACTGACAAATTAAAAATGCCTTGACCTGAGCCTAAAGGCCTGGTGATTGCATAATTTCTACTACTTAAAATGAAGCAGTCATTTAAGCATTAGCAGGCAGTGGAATGTGTTACAAATTGTTGTAATGAGCCATAAAATCAATATCTCTGTTGAGTCCCTGGCTTTTAGTGTTTAGCAGAGCTATGAATTAAAGTTGCCTTTGGAAGGATAGCTATAAAGCCCCTGAAATCTAACCACTAGATAGTGATCAAACCAGCACACAAAAGGGGCCGCAACAGAGTCCTTAATCATGATGGCTACATCAATGAGGCCAATGGACAAGTTTCTGACACCACCTACCATAAAGAACTCGAAAAGCCCATAAAACAATTTACACAGGAATTTTAAGATCCCATCAAATCCTTCCCCAAACACTTCCAAGACAATTTCTGCAGCCTCTTCACCCATGAACTCACCCCAGGGACCTTCTACATGCTTCCCAAGACATGCAAACCAGTCATATCTGGCCACTGCCCTCTTACTGAGGGACAGGACTCATATAAACCATCTTCTAACCATTCATCATACCAAGGGCCAGCTTCTTCCAAGATTCTACAGACTTCCTCCAGAAACACTGCAACATTAACAATCTCCCCCATCCTTGCTACCATGGGTGTCACCTCCCTATACACCAAGATCCCTCACCATAGCAGCATCACTGACTGCCTCAAATACAATGCTCAGAAATCCACCCCAAACACATTGCCAAACTCATCCATTTCATCCTCACCCACAACAACTTCACATTTCACAACAAACACTTTGTCCAAGCCATGGGACTAGCCAGGAGTCCGAGGATGGCTCCCCAATTTGCCAACCTCTTCCTGGGCCACCTTGAGGAAAACTTTCTGGAAAATGCACCAAGAAACCAATGATTGACTGAGTTACATTGATGATATTGTCATCCTGTGGACAGACAGCCTAAACTCCCTCATAGATTTCCACCACGCCTTCAATAACCGCCACCCATCCATCCAACTCTCTCTAGAACGCTCCCACACCAACATCAACTTCCTGGATATCACAATCAGCTTAAACAATGGAACCCTACAAATGACTATAAACAAGAAACCCATGGATCACCACATTTACCTTCACAGATCCCACGACCACCACAGACATCCCAAGAAATCTGTTTTCTGCAGCCAGGCACACCGATACCACAGAATTTGCTCCAAAGAGAAAGTCTAGGGGACACACCTAAACACATTTAAAACCACCTTCACTAAACCAGGACATTCCACCAGAGATGTAGATCACGTTGTGGAATGGGCCACCCAAATACCCAGGGAGAACCTGCTTCCATACAGGAAAAAGAAACCTCCCTGACCACTTGCCCCTAGTTGTCACTTACCACTCCACACTGGAATGTACATGTATCATCAAACAACTACAACCCATGTTTGATGGGGATCACATCCTGAAAGAAACTTTCCTCGAACCCCTTCTTCTGGCCTTCAAACAACTCCCCAACTTCACCAAGCTCAACATCAAAAGCGAGCTCCCCACAGATACACCAACTCAAAGTGGCACCAAATCCTGCTGTAACAACAGATGCAAAATCTGTGGACATAACTCCTCTGTAATGATCATCAATACCCCACCTCCACAACAGACCTTTCAAGAATCATGGGTCCTACACATGCCTATCATAGCATGTGGTGAACCTCACCCAATGCATCAGATGCCCCAACAACTACTATGTGGGTGATACCAGACAACCACTACGCTCAAGAATGAACTGACAGAGAAAAATGATACAAGGCAAAAACACCCTCTCACCTGTGGGGAACACTTTTCACAAAGTGATCACTCCTTATCTGACCTCTCAGTCCCCATCCTCAAAGGAAATCTGCACAACAATTTTGAAAGGCAGGCCTGGGAACTTAAATGTATAACTGTGCTAAACACTAAAAACTAGGGACTCAACAGAGATACTGATTGTATGGCTCTGTCAAGGCTCCTTCCTCACTTTGAACTTTAGGGTACAGATGTGGGGGCCTGCATGAAAACTTCTAAGTTTAACTACCAGCTTAGATCTGGTCCGCTG